CTCCTGCCTCAGCCTCCCAAGTAGCTGGGACCACAGGCGCCCGCCACAACACCCGGCAATTTTTTGGTTGCAGCCATCATTGTTGTTTGGCAAGCCCTGGCTGGATTTGAACCCGCCACCTTAGATGTATGTAGCTGGCGCCTTAGCTGCTTGAGCCATAGGCGCTGAGCCAAAAAGCCAATTTTGCAAACCCTCCTTCTTCTTCTTGTTTTTTTAGAGACAGAGTCTCATTTTTTCACTCTGGGTAGAGTGCCCTGGCGTCAGCTCACAGCAACTTCCAGGTTTTGGGCTTAGGCGATTCTCTTGCCTCAGCCTCCCAAGTACATTGGATCTAGTACATTGTATCCACTATGTTGGGGATACCATGCAGTGTAAAACAAGACCCAATTGTTGTACAGTGCTTATAGGAACCCGCCACAAAGCCCGGCTATTTTTTGTTGCAATTTGACTGGGGCCAGGTTTGAACCCTCTAACCTCAGTATATGGGGCTGGCACTCTACTCACTGAGCCACGGGTGCCGCCAGCAAGCCCTACGGACAAGCTCTGAGCTACAGGCTGCTGTCATAGTGCTGAGTTCATTTAGGCTGCTGTGCATGTAGTAACTCTTTCTGGCATAAAGTGGATCATTTCTGCCTGCTTTCATAGAGAAAAGGCACAGCAGCACCAAGCTGATGCCTACTCTTAAATCTCCCATGACTTTGTTTCTCCGTCTCCTCTCAGGCTTGTCCTGTGAGCTGCCCTGTGAGTGAGTAGCTGTTCTTTCCACATGGCTGACTAAGGCAAATGTTCTTCCTTGCTGATGAATAAGATGGCTGGTATCAAGAGGCTAAAATGCTTTAATTTTCTACTTCTGATTTCAGAGCAGCCTGAACATGCATTCTGTGCCCAGCTACCTCACCCAGCCTCCACCACCTCCTCCACCCCCTCCACCACTGCCCCCACCCCCACCCCCCCAGCCCCCACCACCCCCACCCCAAAGCTTGGGCCCCCCTGGGCGTCCCAACCCTGGTGGGAATGGCGGGGTGGAGGTATACAGTGCTGCTGCACCACTGGCTGGGAGTGGAACCGTGGAGATCCAGGCGTTGGGGATGCAGCCCTACCCACCGTTGGAGGTGAGCAGAGAGGGTGAGGGTTAGGGTGGAGGGGGACATTGCTCGTGGTCATCACAAACAGCCTGGACCTTTCCTGAGCACCAACTGTGTGCCAAGCACTATGCCGGGGATACCATGGGGTACAAAACCAGAGCCAATTGCTGCCTTCATGGAGTATACACATCATGGGAGAGAAGGGCTTTAATGAAAGCCTCACACCTACAAATGAGAAGATGGGATGAAGTGGAGGTGATGGCAGAAATATAAGCTGCTCTTAGGTAATGCTCAGCATAGTCAGGGGACACCTGCCTTTGGTGAGAGGATTCTAAAAAATTATCTGCCTAAGTGTCTCTTACGTTTTTTCATAAGCTAGCATCAACTAGCTTACGCCTTGCTGTAAGAAATATCCATAAGATATAAGTGGCGTATAGCAAAAAGTGTTTATTGTTCACACATTGACAGGGGTTGACTAGATAGCTCTACTGATCTTGGCCAGGCTTATCAGGTACCTGGAGGTTGGCTGGCTGTTTAGTTGCTCTAGAATGGCCTGGGCTGGGACATGTGGGATGACTCAGTTCTGCTTGGTGCAATTCTAGTCCTCCAGCAGATTTTATGGCCTCAGTGGAGGTGAAAAATGGAAGCAGAAATGCCCAAGGGCTCTTGAGGTTTAACCTTGCAAGTGACATGGTGTCACTTCTATTGGCCAAGGCAGGTCACAAGGGCTGATTAGGTTTAGATGCCACCTCTTAATAGATGCCATCTCTTAATGGAAAGAGCTATAAAGTCACCCTATAAAGTCATGGATACAGGAAGGGTTGAAGAATTAGGACCATTATATAATCAATGTGCTAGACTGATTCCCTGCTGACCAGCTATGAGCTACAGGCTACTCTCAAGTGCTGAGTTCATAGAACTATCCCAGACACTGAGGCTGGAGTATATGGTTATGCCAGAAAGTCTGCCTGCACTTGAAGTCACACTAACCCAGACTTACCCTGGAGTCCCACCACACAGACATCCATGTCAGGTAATATCTGACACACGGCATAGGGTGTTATGAAAGCCTTCAGGGGGATTTACAGGAAGAATAGAGCAGGCTTCCCTAAGGAATCTACTGAATTTGCTGACATGACTCTGGTGGCTTCGTAGACAGAGGAAACCCGCACAGGGAAGCTCCTGCTGTTTATTTTCCACATAAATAAGGGTGCTCTTTGAGGGCCTAGCCTGAATCTTACTCAACTTTGCTTCCTTAGCACCTCATAGTATACCTGGCCTGTGTACACCTAGTACCCACTTAAATAGGGCCCCCCGACCTCAGTTTCTTCTTTTCCCAAATGGAAACTCTCCTTGGAGAGCTGTTGAAGATAATGACAACCTAACCCAGTGGCAGTCATGTAATTACTCAGTAATGCCTGGAATGAGAGGAGAATTTATTCATGTGACAAATATTTATTAAGTGCCATAGTGGCTAAAGTTTAGTCAGGAAAATAGAAACCATGCTAGGTTATTTCTGGCACTGGGCGTTGAGACAGGAAGTTAAGTGCTTGTAAAGCTGATAGAAGGGCTGTAGGAACAAAAGTCAGAGTTTGTGGGTTTCCAGTTCAATGTCGTGGCTTGGCCTGAAGAGCCAGGGCACTGCCACTGCATCCAGAGTTGAGGGACCTGTAGGATTCTGTTGCTGATGTCCTAGCTGCCTTGCAGTTCTCGGAGCAGTGACTAGGAAGGGAATGTAGAGTTCAGCCAGCCACTCCAAAGCTCATTACTGCAGATGCCATCTATCTTCCACCACAGCTGCTGGGGGAGAACGGTTTCTACTTTACTTCTGCCTTCTATTTTTTTTTTTTTTTTTTTTAGAGACAGAGTCTCACTTTGTTGCCCTCAGTAGAGTGCTGTGGCATCACAGCTCACAGCAACCTCCAGCTCTTGGGCTTAGGCAATTCTTTTGCCTCAGCCTCCTGAGTAGCTGGGACTACAGGCATCTACCACAATGCCCAGCTATTTTTTGTTGTAGTTTGGCCCAGGCCAGGTTTGAACCCGCCACCCTTGGTATATGGGACCAACGTCCTACTCACTGAGCCACAGGTGCTACCCCCACTTCTGCCTTCTAAATCCCATGCAAAAGCTTTTCAGGCACAGGACCTAATCTGTGTTCAGAATTGTGCTGGCAAGGGAATATCCTTCCAAGCTTCCTGCCCTTGCATTTCAGGGGTGAGCATGGTAGGGTATGGGAATGGTGCCAAGAAACAACAGACAAGCTCTGGCAGAAGCACCTACTGAAGCCATATTAGATGCTCACTGAATGCTTCGATGAATTCATTCATTTAGCCAGTATCTATTGAGTGCCCTCTCTGTGCCAGGCATTGTACAAGGCCTTGATAATAGTGTAGTGAGCAAAAGCGGACAAGAAGCCCTCTCCTGGGGAACTAGGCAGATGATAGAGAAGATAAATAAGTAAAATATGTAATTTTAGATAAGTCTAAGGAGAAACATAAAGCAAGAAAACAATAGGAAGTGAAATTTTGGATAGGACACCCTGGGAAGACCAATGAATGATGAATAAATAAAGTTTTTCCAGTGCCCCAGTGTCATGATGTAAGCTCAGTGTTAACTAAATTTGAATGGCTCAAAATTCATTTGGTAATTTCTTGTGGGTTCCATGTCAGTTCTTAGTCAAGGGAAGCCTGCTACTGTGACATTTGGTTATATCAGTTAGTAAGTAGAGTAGCTGGTGAGGGCACAGATCCTTTTGGATTCTTGGTTCTCTCGTGCTAGCAAACTGCTGCTGCTACTAATAATGCCAATAATAACAGCTGATGTTTACTGAGTGTTTACTATATGCCAGCCAGTGTTCTGAGTCTTTTACATATTACTTCATTTAATTCTCATAACCCTATGAAAGAAGTGCTATGATTCATCCCATTTTACAGATATGGATACTGAGGCAGAGAAATTAAAAGATATCCAAGGTCACTCAGTAAGGGGCAGAGTCAAGATCTGAACCTAGGCAGCCTGGTTCCTAGCTGTTCTGACCTGTTGGCTTCATGAGGTTCTGAGGGGTCTTGGAAGTGACTAGGGTGACTATCCCAGGTAGAGGGATTGGGATGGTGATGTAGGCGGGGAGAGGCTGAGGTTTGCCAGAGCCAAGTGAGAGCCCCTGTCTGGGCATCTTTTCCTCTCCATTCACCAGGATCTCTCCCTGACTGTGCTATCCTTCTAGGTGCCAAACCAGTGTGTGGAGGCTCCAGTGTATCCGACCCCTCCAGTGTACAGCCCCGGCAAACAGGGATTCAAACCAAGAGGACCAAACCCCACTGCCCCCCTGACCAGCGCCACCGGGGGCACAGTGGCCACCTTTGACTCCCCACCAACGCTGAAGACCCGACGGGCTAAAGGTGCCAGGGGACTCCCGGAAGGTGGGCCCCCAGCCTGCCCTGGGCATCTTTCCTCAGCATTGGCTAATTCATAGGCTGCTTGGTGCTGGTCTTGCCTTTTATAATGGTTGGGTTGAAGTTTGATTGCATGTAATGAAAAATCCAAAATAATTGTCACTTTAAAATGATAGAATTTATTTTCTCTCCTGTGTAAATCAAGGCCAGAAGGAGACAATGTGGGGATTGTGTGATTGCACTGTCACTAGGCACATTGTTTCTTCTTTCTGTTCTGCCATCCCCAGAACATGGCATTAGTTAGCAGAGTGCCTCATCATCTGTGGTGGCTGCTGGAGTTCTAGTCATTAATTTTATATTTCAGGTAGTCAGAAGAAGGAAGAAGGGAAGAATAAAAGGGGGCATCTCCCAGCCTCTAGAAGTTCTGATTTTTTTTTTTTTTTGAGATGGAGCCTCAAGCTATCCCCCTGGGTAGAGTGCCATGGCATCATGCTCACAGCAACCTCCAACTCCTGGGCTCAAGTGAGTCTCCTGCCTCAGCCTCCCAAGTAGCTGGGACTACAGGCGCCTGCCACAACGCCTGGCCATTTTTTTTTTTGGTTGCAGCCATCATTGTTGTTTGGCGGGCTGGGCTGGGGATTCGAACCTGCCACCTTAGGTGTATGTGGCTGGCGCCCTAACAGCTTGAGCCACAGGCGCCGAGCCAGAAGTTCTGATTTTATAAATACACACACACACACACACACACATATATATTTTTTAAGACAGAGTTTCACTTTGTCACCCTTGGTAGAGTGCCATGGCTTCACAGCTCACAGCAACCTCAAATTCTTGGGCTCCAGCGATTCTCTTGCCTTACACTCCCAAGTAGCTGGGACTACAGTCACCCACCACAACACCTGGCTATTTTTCGGAGACAAGATCTTGCTCTGGCTCAGGCTGGTCTCAAATCTGAGCTCAGGCAATCCACCTGCATTGGCCTCCCAGAGGGCTAGTATTATATGTATGAGCCACCACGCCCAGCCTTGTATGTATGATATTTTTGCTTACATCTTCCTGGTGAAAACTTAGTCACGTGGCTTACCTACACATAGCTGCAAAAGAAGCTGGGAAGTGTCTCTTTTGGCTAGGAACATTGATGTTCCCATTATGAGGTTTATGAGGAAGGAAGAAGGGGAGAGTGGAATTTTTTTTTTTTTTTTTGAGACAGAGTCTCATTATGTTGCCCTTGGTAGAGTTCTATGGCGTCACAGCTCACAGCAACCTCAAACTCTTGTGCTTAAGTGATTTGCTTGCCACAGCCTGTCAAGTAGCTGGGACCACAGGCGCCTGCCACAACACCTGGCTATTTTTTTGTTGCAGTTGTCATTGTTGTTTAGCTCACCTGGGCCAGGTTCAAACCTGCCACCCTCAGTGCATGTGGCTGGTCCCATAACCACTGTCCTACAGGCACCAAGCTGGGAGAGTGGATCTTAATCAAGCAAGTAGCAATGTTGGGCACTCCTTAGGAAATGTTAAGCATAGGATAGGAGGTGGTGTTGGAAGTGACGGGCAGATATAGAGAAGAGAAATAGAGAATTTTTCAGTGGCTTTCTAGTCATCTACTTCCTCCCTTCCTTCCTTCTACAAATTGTTGAGCCAGGCTCTCTGTCAGGCGCTGGGGATCTAGTATTTTGGCCTATGATTTCTTCTGCCCTCAGTTATACATAGTTTAATGGAAGCAACAGGCTGAGAATAAGTTAATATTTATGGTTTGCTCTAGGAAGGAGGTTAGGGTCTTGTTATTGAAAATAACTCAGGAAAAGCTAGAGAGTTATACAGTCTATCAATGTGTACAAGAGAAGCCTTGTGGGTATTTGCTAGACAAGATGAGCATTCCAGGCAGGTAGGAATAGCAAGTATAAAGACCCCAAGGTGGGACTATGCTTGAGATCTTTTAAGGTTAGCAAAGAGTCCACTGCAGCTAGATGGAGAGAATGATGTGGTTGTCAGGAGTTAGAGGATGCAGAATGCTGTAGGCCAGAGCAGAGAGGTTGGATTTTATCCTAGGGCAAAGGGGAGCCTTTGAGGGATGTGTGTTGCTTTTCTTTTTTTTTTTTTTTTTTTTTTGAGACAGAGCCTCAAGCTGTCCCCCTGGGTAGAGTGCCGTGGCATTACAGCTCACAGCAACCTCCAACTCCTGGGCTCAAGCGAGTCTCTTGCCTCTGCCTCCCAAGTAGCTGGGACCACAGGCGCCCGCCACAACGCCCGGCTATTTTTTGGTTGCAGCCGTCATTGTTGTTTGGCGGTCCGGGCTGGGGATTCGAACCCGCCACCTTAGGTGTACGTGGCTGGCGCCTTAGCTAGTTGAGCTATAGGCGCCGAGCCGTGTGTTGCTTTTCCAGTGAGAGCATGTCCTGGGGTCCCCTCCATGGGGACTGAAAAGCCCTGTGCCTCTTCCCCTGCCTGTGTGTGCGTGTAGACTTCCCAGGCTGTATACCATCTGCTTGACTGGAGGCTGCCTGCCCTTGGCACCCTTGGCTGTGCCCCTAGCCTCACTGTCCCCTCCTCCCACTTGTCTTTCAGCTGCTGGGAAGCCAAAGGCTCAGAAACTCAAGTGCTCATACTGTGACAAATCATTCACCAAAAACTTTGACCTGCAGCAGCACATCCGAAGGTATTCAGGTCTGGGGTGGGGGGACAGGTTAGCTCCTGGGCAGATCTGGTTAAGGGCCATCTGCGTAGAAGCGAGACTCCCTCCTTAGTTCCTTAGCCCAGGTGGTGACCCAGGCCTCATCTGTCCTATCATGGTGTTCATGCTGTAGTCCAGGTCAGGGTGGTTTTCTCTCTTCTCTCTCAGGAGCAGGGCAAGGAACCTGGGAAAGCTGTGGACGCTGACCCCTGGAAGGTCAGGGAGGGGCGGGGTAGGGGAGGCCATGTACTGAACCAAAAGGGGCTTTGCAGATGTGTAGGGGTGCCTCGGGCCTCTCTTCTGCAGAAGGGGCTGATCTGCCAGGGCTGCCTGCTCTGCAAACGTAACTGAGCTTTCCACTCACTCGGTACTAACCAGGATGCTCTTATCCCAAGAACATGTAAGGAGCCCCTCTTGGCCTCAGTTTTTCCATGTGAAAAGAAGGGGTGGACTTGTTCAGGGTTTCTCACAGAGTGGGATACTTTGGTACATGAGATGATTTTAGGTGGTTTGTGGATATGGTATTGAAAAGTCCTAAAAGACATAGTGAGAAAATGATTTCCTTTGCCGTTTTAGTACTTGGAGAATCAACAGAGAAAGCTCAATTTGGTGCTAGTCTGTCTTTAACACCTTTTATATACTTGCTCATCTCTTAGAGAGGGGACAAGTCTCAGAGTCTTTCTTTTTTTTTGAGACAGAGTCTCATTATGTCGCCCTCGATAGAGTGCTGTAGCGTCACAGCTCACAGCAACCTCAAACTCTTGGGCTTAAGCAATTCTCTTGCCTCAGCCTCCCAAGTAGTTAGGACCACAGGCGCCCACCACAATGCCCAGCTATTTTTAGAGACCCAGTCTTGCTCTGGCTCAGGCTGGTCTCAAACCTGTGAGCGCAGGCAATCCGCCCACCTCAGTCTCCTAGAGTGCTAGGATTATAGGCTTGAGCCACCATGCCTGGCGAGAAACTGAATTTTTTATTTTATTTTATTTTTAATTAATTAATTATTTTTTTGGTAGAGACAAAGTCTCACTTTATCGCCCTTAGTAGAGTGCCATGGTGCCACACAGCTCACAGCAACCTCCAACTCCTAGATTTAAGCGATTCTCTTTCCTCAGCCTCTTGAGTAGCTGGAACTACAGGTGCCTGCCACAATGCCCAGTTATTTTTTTGTTGCAGTTTGGCAGGTTTGGGTTTGAACCCGCCACCCTTGGTATACGGGGCTGGCGCCCTACCCACTGAGCCACAGGCGCTGCCCAATTTCATTTTACTTTCATAAATTTAAATTCAGGTAGTCCCATGTGGTGTGCCTATTTTATTGGACTTCGGCTATAGGTCTTCCATTTTTCCTGTGGCAGCTATAGGTCTTCCATTTTTTGTTACGTTATGACAAGTGGTTTTTCATGTACAATAACAAAAGGAAAGTTCATTTTAAAATTATTTTCACTTTTAAAAAGGTGAATTGAAAGGTTGGGTGTGGAGGTTCATGCCTGTAACCCTAGCAGTCTGGGAGGCCAAGGCCGGTGGATTGCCTGAGCTCACAGGTTCCAGACCAGCCTAATGAAGAGTGAGAACCCGACTCTAAAAATAGCTGGGTGTTGTGGCAGGTACCTGTAGTCCCAGCTACTGGGGAGGCTGAAGCAAGAGAATCACTTGAGCCCAGCAGTTTGAGGTTGTGAGGCTCAGCACCTGTAGCACAGTGGT